AGCAAAGTAGTGAAGGTCTTGGCAGTAGGTAGTATGAAAATATCTCTTTGTATGCGTCAGTCCTCAGAGCTAATCCTGAGGGACCTTGAGTAAGGTAGGGAAGGACTGAGAAGCTCAGTTTGCATGACTTATTTGCTCTCTGAGAGAGTCATTCAATGTCAGTCACCATATTTATTAAGCACCTATTATGTGAGTTGGTGTTGAATTGCCACTGAAGGTGTATCAGTAGTTTTATGACAAGTAGCCAAGGAAGGGCTACACAGAGCATCCGTTTTGTGCCCTTGTTACTATTCTCAGTCAGGCAGTAACCTCTTTTTATTTTTACTGTTTGATTTATCATCTTAGTTATCTCATAAATATAGGTTTAAAAATTTGTAACTCCAATGTAAACATTAACCTGTGCCACTAAATAAATTTGCTTATTTCATCACATGGAGAATAATCATCTACTGCTTTTCTAAAATTCTCTTCAAAAAAATTAAGAAAATAGAAAAGTAAAGAAAATAGGAAAATGTTCTTTTCCTACTTTATAATATCCTTATCCCCTAAAAAATTGTGGTTTTGGTAGCACAATTCCCAAACTTCCTTAATCTTGTCTTATAAATATGGAAAATGGTGGAGGGAGTTTTAGATTTCTATGTTGCTTTTTTATTCTTTTAAAACTAGAGAACCAGAACATAGCTGTAGTAAAAACATTGGCAAGAATTTCAAAGTGTTAATAAGATTGCTAGAAAGTTTCCCATTGCAGTTTAAGAACAAACCCCACAATTCCACAGCTATCTTTTGTACATATGGGTGACGTTGCTAACCCAATCTCTTCTTATAGATTGCTTAGTTGTGCTAGTTCTTTTTTAAGAAAGGGGGTGCATTTTATAGGTTCTTTCATTTATATGGTATTTTAATGTAAGTTATTTTAGAGAACTCAATTTTAATCCTACGTCTTCCCTGGAAAACGTTGGAGCATACAGGCAGAAGCTTTCATTCTTCTGCTTCTAATACCAGATACTTTTTTTTTAACTGTGTTCATTACTATTTTTTCCTCCAGTTAATACCCTAAGTTATATTAAAGAAGTAGTTCCCAATTATTTAATCAGTCTCTGGAGCAATAATGAAACTAGAAATCTAACTGTAGAAGATCTTTTACAACTGCCACTTAATACCAACCAACAAATTCTAAGAATAGTTTAAAAGCATCTTGACTTAGGTCATTCTTCTGAAAAATGCTTTATCTTAGAACATGCATAATTTTAGAAAATGCTTAGAATTTTGAAGGGAAAAAAAGAGACACACCCTGTTGTTAGCAGATTTTGTGTGACCAAGCCTTTATACTTAAGAAGATAACAGCTAGAATTCTATTTGATCTAGAATTATGCCAAATATATATAGATACATGCATATATATGTATGTATATTTATACATTTGCATATATGTGTATATATATGCACATGTGCATATATGTATATATGTATATAAAAATGTTTGGGTCACATACAAAATTAGGCCCATCTTTGTCTACTTATAAATCCTGCAGTTGATTGGTCAGACATGGACATACCAACAGATTTGGTGTTACCATTAAAGCTAACCTAAAACCATGTAATGTGGTTTAAGGTTTTTACTCATTCATCTTTAAAACAAGATTTCCAAACCTATGTTGGATTTTACTATTTAATCTAATTTGGGATAAATTAATTTTATTTCTTGGAATATTTTTTAGTTTTTTTCTAGCTTTGTTCATGAAAAAAAATACATGTTTGAAAAGAAATGGAGTTTAGCATCATCTTTACTAATATAAATGAAAATATTTTAAATTATTCCCATTGTATACTGCTGTGTCAACATTCATAATTAAGACTATACCCAGGCATTATTCAATTCTGGAAAAAAATACATTATCTAGGGTATTGCAGTCATTTATACCAATAAAGCAAACATGCTATTTGACCTCTGTGGAAATTGTGTATGCTACTGCTAATTATTTAGTCCATCTTTCTAGTTAAAAAATAACCTAGTTGAAATGATGACTGAAACATATATAAGGCCTAAGAAAGTTGTTTTGATGTTTCTCAATCAATTATGAGGCATATCTTCTAATGTACCCAGTAAAAATAGTGTTTATTCCATTATAGATCTATTTCAGTAAGATCATCCCTGGTAATTTTTTTATTATATGTTAGATATTGTGAATTTTACCTTGTTGGGTGCTGGATATTTTTGTATTAAGTATTCTTGAGGGCAACCCCCTCGGTTCCCCTCCCACTGTGGGAGCTTTTCTGTCCTCTCAATAAATCCTGCTTTCTAAAATAATTAACCAACTAAATAAATAAATATTCTTGAATTTTGTTCTGGGACATAGCTAAGTTACTTGAAAATAGTGTGATCCTTTTTGTTCTTGCTTTGAAGACAACTTAGGTGAGACCAGAGCAGTCTAGGGCTAGTTATTTCATAAGACTCTTTGAGTCCTCTCCTAATCTTAGGAATCATGAGTTTTTCCAGTTTGGCTAGTGGGAACAAGTGCTATTTTCAGCTTCAGTATGGTTTCTGAGTACTGTTCTCTGTAATACTTTTGGGTATTTCTTTTCTTGGCTTTGAATAGATTCTCTACATATTGCTGGTCAGTACTCTATTCAATATTTTAGGGGAATCCTCTGGAGATCTCTGGAGTTTTCTCTCTGTGAGTTCTTTCCTCTGTGGTATTAAGCCTTGGGATTGAGCCACCTTGGTCTTCCTGGACTCTTGGCCAGAGTCTTCAACTCAGTGGTTCTCCTTTCTGCCCTTCAACTTTCACACACTCAACAGGCAGGAAGCAGAAGTTTCTCATTTGTTTCCTGTCTCTCAGAGATCACTGTCCTTGTTACTGATGTCCAGTGCATTGGATCTATTGTTTTATATATTTTGTCCAGTTTTTTAAATTATTTCAGAAAGGTGAATAAATATAGTCCCTGTTATTGCATCCTGGACAAAAACAGACTAATGTCAAAACAAATCTTAAAAGAATATTGATTTTTTAGTTTAACTTTCCAAAACATAAGAGTCTCTGGTAATGTTATCTCCAAGTGAGATTATTTCTCAGGGAGGGAGCCCGTGACTGAATCCAGGCAGAACCAGCTGATTTCTTAATCCTGCCTAGCTATTAATATAAAGCCTGATGAAATAAAATGAAGAGAATAAAACATTTCTGCATCTCAAGCACAGTAGAAGCAAAATATCAGAGAATAAGGTGAGGGAAGTATAGTTTATTGTATTATATCTCAGGAGCCTCAGATTAAAAAAAAAAAAAAAAATATATATATATATATATATATATAATATTTATAAAGCCTGTTGTGACAATATCTGTTTTATTACATTTAAAGCAATATCTTTTTTTTTTGAGTTGGAGTCTCACTCTGTCGCCCAGACTGTCGCCTCGACCTGCTGGGGCCCTGGAGATCCTTCCGCCTCAGCCTTCCAAGTAGCCGGAATTACAGGCATGCGCTACCATGCCCAGCTGATTTTTTGATTTATTGTAGAGATGAGGTCTCGCTGCCCAGGCGGGTCTCGAACCCGCGGGCTCAGGCAATCCACTCACCTCAGCCTCCCAAAGGCGCGGGATTACAGGCTGAGCCACCGAGCCCGGCTTAAAGCCATATCTTAAAGAAGATTTTATTTCAGACAATGCACGGGTGCTGTATAGTAAAATAACGACCATTTTCCTAACCTATTGTTTCCATCTTTCTCTCCCCCCAACAGATGGTGAAGATATGATGAAACTGGTCATGAAGCATTATAAATTATTTCTTACTCTTTTTAAAAAAATGAACTATAAATTAAAAAGCCTAAAATTTGTTATAGCCTTTGAATTATTAATCCCACCTACAGAATTATAACCAATGTAAATAATCTGAAGTATGTAAAAATCTATACCTCCAAAAATTTTTTAATCATGGTGCTAATTACAATGGAAAAAAGTGGAAATAGTCTTAATGTCAAAATTGGTGCCCAATAAGGAATGAATACTCAAAATATATAAAGAACCCCTGCAACTCAGCAACAGACAACCAACCCAATTCAGAAATGGGCAAAAGACTTGAACAGACATTTCCCCAAAGAAGATATACAGTTGACTGATAAACACCTAAAAGATGCTCAGCATCGCTAGTCATTAGGGGACTACAAATTGAAAACCTAATGAGGTACTACTTCATACTCATTGGAGTTGCTATTATTTAAAAAAAACCAAAAAGACAAAAAATAAATTCTGGTGAAGATGTGGATAAATTGGATCTCTTATGCATTTATGGCAGGAATGTAAAACGAATACCTAAAAAGTTAGGTGTTCCTCAAAGTGTTAAACATATAATGACCACATGACCCAACAGTTCCACTTCTAGTGATATACCCCAAAGAATTTGAATCAAAGACTCAAACAGATACTTGACCAGAGTTCATAGCAGCATTATTCACTATAGCCTAAAGGTGGAAACAACAAATGTCCATCCACAGATGAATGGATGAACAAAACATGGCATATACATACAATGAAATATATAGCCTTAAAGGAGTGACATTCTGACATGTGTTACAATTTGGGGTACCTTGAGGACAATCATGGTAAGTGAAATGAGCCAGCCACAAAAGGACAAATATTATGATTTCACTTCTATGAGCTACCCAGAGTAATCACATTCATAGACAACAGAAAATAGCATCGTGGTTACCAGTGGCTGAGGTAAGGGGTGAATGGAAGTTATTGTTTAACAGACACAGAGTTGTTGTTTGGGATGATGAGAAAGTTCTGGAGATGGATGGTGTGAGGGTCGCACAACACTGTGAGTGTACTCAATGCCACTGAACTGTATACTTAAAAATGGTAAATTTTTAGTGTATATTTTACCCAAATGTATATTTTACCACAGAATATTTTAAGGCGCCTAGTTAAAGAAATAATTCACATTTCCAAAAAGAGTTAACTCAGAAGTGCTGACCGACAATCCCCCCTGCTCTCCTTCCTCTCCAGGGGTGACCCACGCAGCCATCTGGGCAGCGTGCATTTCTTACCTGAGTGCGGCTGTCCCCCCCGAGCTGAGGACATCTGCTCAGGGCATCCTGCAGGGCCTCCACCTGGGCTTGGGGAGAGGATGTGGTGCCATGATTGGAGGCGTGTTAGTCAATTATTTTGGTAAGAATGGCTTTCTCTTGTTTTCTTTTTTCTGTGATCTAAAGGTGGCTTTTCAGCAACCCCTTAGTAAACACTCAAATGATTCCTGAAGACTGCCAGAAGCTCAACTCTAGTAGTCACATTCTCCTTCTAGGTTTCATAATTGTAAAGCAGTGTGCTTAGGCTGTCAGGCTGATTAGAGCCAGTCAGTAACTGTGCACACTCCTCTAACAAACAGCCAGTTAGATGCTACCCAGATATCTCAAATGAGCCATACACATTTATAAGCACGAATGCTTTTGGTTTAAAGTAAGGCACTCTAGGCCTGCTGATATAATGCTAAATGAAAGAAAGTTCACCGTGGTGATTCCATCAGCAGATTTTGGACCAGAAGAATCTAACTACATGCTGGCATTGGTAATGTCACCTCATCTATAATAACAACATCTGACCCAATAACCTGGAAGCGGTAACAGAATGTACAGCAGGCCTACATGGCTAGATCTTCTGAATGGTGTATCAGTGAATTCATAGGTACTGTTGTTTGGGAGATCCACTTGCTATGTTGGAAAAAAAATTTGTTATTTTAAGTACCTGGGGTTTACTTCTTTTTTTATGGTACAAGGTGGTAGGGAAGTATTAGTTTTAAATGTCTCTGGTATTCTTAAAGGTATTTCAAATTTAAGTCAAACATATATAAGGCTATATATAATTTTACTACTACTGCCTTATCAGATTTCCCTTATTGGAAACCTAGGGGCTACAGTGGGAATGAGATTATTCTGCTCCAGGAATCTTAACTGCTCAGTCCTCTGTTTAAGGTGGGCCCAGAGATGTGTGAATTTATAGCACTATTTGAGCTCTGCTGTTCCCACTACAGATTAATAGGGCTGCTTGTCAACAGTTGGGCAAATGGTCTTTATGAAGAGGAGGGTACCACTGAATTGTGTGAGTCATGGAGAAAGGCACTCAGAGGCAATCCTTCGTAAATGCAGCTTGGTAGCTGATAAATGGCAGATCCAATCCTAGCACCTGTGTTTTTTCTATTATAATATATGGAGCAAATGACCAGCCACTTTTTTCTGGTTCACCCCAAGCTGTGCTTCCTTTGTCCTGGACTTTAGAATTCTGACAGCTTTGGACAAGGGCTCTCTGCATGTCCTGGAATGATTCTAGAGAGAGTTTTGTTTGTTTTCACAGGGGCTGCTGCAACTTTCCGAGGAATTGGCATGGCCTGCTTGGTGATCCTTCTGCTCTTTGCTCTGATCCAGTGGCTGGCAGTGCCAGATGAGGAGGAAGGTAATGATTCCCGTTTTTTCTTGATGGTTCTAGCAGGTGCCCCTCAGTAACCCGGAAATGGTAACAGAATGTACAACAGGCAAAATGGTTGGATTTTCTAGTGGGGTATCGATGAAATCATAGGTACTGTTGTTAGAGAGATACACTTGCTATGTTGGAAAAAATATTTGTTATTTTAGGTATCTTGCATTTTCTTCTTTTTTTATGGTACAAGGTGATAGGGAAGTATTTTATTTTTTTAATATATACCATTTTATTTGTCAATTAAATATTTTAAAATACAAAGAATTGGCAAAGAGGGGTTTATTATTTGTTTCTTGGGGAATAGTTCAGGTTACATCTGTGACCCTACATTTGCTTTTCTTTCTTTTCTTCTACTAATTTTTCCCATTTTGTTTTTTAAAAGTATCCTTCTGAGCTGCCATAAATCCTCTTTAAAACAATGTGGAGTAGAGATTAAAACAACTTGGAGTTTGGGCTGACCACTCCTCCTTTCTGAAGCTGACTAGAACTTGGCAGAGATCTCTTCCTGCCCTGGGATATGATGAGCCAACGAGTTTCTGATCAAATTGGGAAGATGATACTAGCACAGCAGATAACTTGAGAATGCCACTTGCAAGGGCTGCAGTGCATGGTGTGGGCCGAGGGCAAGAGAGAAAGACCCATATAGAGATAAGACTAAGAAAACGGTAGTGCTGGAAGGGAATCTGGCAATCTGAGGATCTTAGCTATTATTTTGCAGTTGGGGAAACTGAGGCCCAGAGAGAAGTATGTTATCTAATGGCACCTGGCTGGTAGTGGCAGCTGCAGATACTAATCTAGGCTTATGTTGGGGGGAGGATCATTTTGCATATTAATACATTAAAGTTGAAAGTATTAGTTTTAAATGTCTCTGGTATTCTAACGGTATTTCACATGTGACTCAAATACATACAAGGCTATACATAATTTTGCTACTAGGGGTAGGGAAGGGTATTCTCTGTGCCTCTGCCTTCATCTGGAGGAAAAAAAAATCTAAATCTGAAATTTGAAGGTTTCCCTAAACCAGGCTTGACCTTTATTAAATGGTTATACAAGAAGAAGGTCATATTAAATATTAATAGGTCGACAAGAACAAGTTGACTCAGTCTTTTATGAAAAAGGCTGACCAGCAGAATTAAAATTTTCTTGCTCAGTTCTCTGGTCCCAGAACATGGCTTGTCTACTTGGGGTGACCTGTCCTTTGAGGAGCACTGGCTTCAAGTATCCGAAGTGCTTCTGTTAAAAGCAAAACTAGCTGTTACAGAAACCTCAGAAATAGACTTTTATTTTTATTTTTATTTAATTTTACAATGGAGAAAGAGTTTAATATCACAAAGCAGCTAGGTGAGGAGGGCCGGAGAAAATCTCTCAAATCTACCTCCCTGAAGATTCAGAGGACAAGATTTTGAAAGGATACTTGGCAAGAAGAGGGATAGGAGCTATTGATTGGTTGAGGATGTCATTGGTGGGAGAGGGGAGTGTTGAGATTGTCTTCCTGGAGTCCTGTGACCGGTAGAGAGCTTCCTGGTGCTCTGGGCCTGGGTAGGAGCTTGGGTCCACAAGACTACAAAGTCTGAAAAAGATCTCAGATGTGATTCTTAGGTTTTACAATAGACACTGGCCATCAGGTACTACTTCCCCTACCTCAATACTGGTTTTTCTCACTTTTGTTCTCTGATAATCCTAACTAGATCCTATCTCTTAGGCAGCCTCAGTCCATGGCCACTGTAAGAGGCCAACAAAAACAGCTATCTCATGACTTTTTCTATTTTGAAACCTGTCTTTAAAATTGCCATCCTGTAAATAGACCTAAAGCAATATATTCATTATGACATCTACCCCACTGATGTTATATCTCAGTTAAATGAAAAATAGACGACTTAAGTACATATAAGTTAATGTCTATGAAACCCCATAAAGAGACCCTGAAAGATCAACGTCATGTTCATCTTCAGTGCGTGTACCAAGTAAAGACGGCCTTGGCAAACAGCAATTTATTCATATTGCCAAGCACTCTGTAATAGGCTTATGGGATTGTTGGTTTATTTACTGTTTAATCTTTGCTTAAATATATAGAAAACTCTGAAAAATGATTTAAATGTGATTTTCTTTCCAGACAAGACCATGTTGGCAGAAAGGATTCCTGTTCCTTCCAGCCCTGTTCCCATAGCAACCATCGACTTGGTACAGCAACAGTCAGAAGATGTCATGCCACGCGTTGAGCCCAGACTTCCGCCCAAGAAAACCAAGCACCAGGAAGAACAGGAAGATGTGAACAAACCAGCCTGGGGGGTCAGCTCTTCTCCTTGGGTGACTTTTGTCTACGCCCTCTACCAAATTAAAGAGATGATGCAGCTGATGAGAGACAGCCGTGCTTCTGAGATCCAGCCTTTACAGGTACAGATCTCCTGCTGGGCTAGCCACATTACCTGTCACGGAAAGTACCTCAAGTGGGCTCCACTGCATTCATTATTCATTTTTCATTCAGCGAGATTTATTGAAAGTCTAGTTGGAGAAATAGACATGCAATAATTTCAATACTCAAAACTGCATTATATAGGTTGTATGCAAGGTCCCTTGTATTTGGGAAGGCTTCACAGAGGACATGATTCTTTTAACTGTTGGAAGAAATAAATCAGTCCATTCAGATCTTGTATATTTCTTTTCAGTTTCAGTGTTGATGGATGCCAGTTGAAGTGAGAATATAGGTTCATGCCTTTGGGGGCCATATTTCGTCTTCTCTATAATTCTAAAATTCTACTGGGGCATTATTTTATAGTATAAGAACACCATAAATATCTGTTTAAATAATTAATAATCTGAGCCATAATATCAGTCTGCTAGGACACCTAACTTGGTGGATGGACAGTTGTATAGATGGCCTCACCTGAAAAATAAATTTAAAAGTGTGATTTTTCTTGTCCCTAGAGGAGTAATCTCTCCTAAGTCAAGTCAAGTCGATAAAACAGTGTGGATAATTGTATAACTAAAACTGTATCCTGACTTTGGAAAGTGAGTGTGACATTTATGAACAGTTTAGCCCAAGTAATAAGTCCAGTTCCCTCTTTTTATATTAATCACTCCCTTTTACTTGATAAGTCATGCCAGTTCTGTGGTCTTCAGTAGCTTCAGAGGACACGTGAGAAAAAAAAAGGATAATTCGAGTAATTTCCCTTTCAGAAAATGTGTTCAATTACCTTAACTAATTTATTTAGACTCTGTAAATTAACATAACATCTTTGCATAATTTTAACAAAATCTGGTTCTTCACTGATAAACATGTGTATGCCAGTCCATGCATGATCCTTGTTATTTATCAGGATAATAGATTTACATGGATCCCCTGCTTAGTCAAGAGCTAGACAACGGGGTGGGAGGAGGTTACAGGGGATCAGGGAAGCAACGCAGGAGAAAGGTTGCTGTCTGCTGCTTGGGTAGCAGTGTTTCCATTACTTCCTGTACTCATCCTCATTTTTACAGAAGCAGCATTAAATTTTATTTTCTGATATGTCAAGATTAATAAAAACTAGCAGTTATGGTATATTATTCTTTAAAAAAGTTATACTAAGGGTTTTTTTTTTTTACATTTTTGAATCAGTCACAGAAATGAAATTTTTTGGTGCTTAGGTATTGGAAAAAACCTGTTTTAAAGTATCATGACTTGTAGAATCAATATGGCATTTCATAGAAATTGCTGCCGGGGATGTTACACTCCGCTATCTACAGTTGGTTACTTAAATGCTCGTTTACATTCCCTTCTTTATGTGGATGTCCTATCTTATTTAACTTTTTGTGAATATTTTGAAATCCCAGATAGGCATGAGGACTCTCTTTCCCCAGCTCTGCCTCCAAGGCCGAGAATTCCTCACTTACTTACTGTTACTGTCTTTTGGTTCTCGAATTCTGTGGTCTTGGCAAGTGGCCGGAGTTTGTTATTCCATGGGGCTTCCCCCGTGACCTGTCACATGGCTGGGGGGGTGTCCTCAGTAAACACCTACTGACGTCAGCGGTTTGCCTGTAGTAATAATGGGGGTTTTGGTAGCAATGTCCCTTTATCCACAAGATGCATCTGCTGATCGTGTTTGTGTTTTTCATGCGGCTCTGGCAGTTGCACATAGGAAAGGAGATGAAAGGTAAGACCTTCTATCCTTCCTCTATTACCTGGTCCTTGAGATGGGCACTTCTGGATGGTGTCCCCATGTTTCCTGTATCTCACTCGAAAGCATATGCCAAAAGTTGGATTGATCTGCTGCTACTGACCATGGGGCATCTCCTGTTTTTTCCCCTCCAGGGGACCAATGAGAATCGAGAAAATTCTCCAGCTGGTGGAGCCCGGCCTGTCCCAAGTGAGACTCACCCTGACCCATCTAGAAACCAGCCATCCCCCGACACAGCCACATCTCAGTCACAGACCAGCCCTGCTAACCCCAGCGTGGACCCGCGTGTGGAGGAGCAGCGGGAGCAGCTGGCTCAGGGAGTCGTGGGGGGACACTGAGGGCATCCTGCTCATCTCACACCCTGCATGAAACTGGGCTCCTCCTCCACCAGGACACGGGGCCAGGCCCCAGCCAGGAGCTGCCTCTTGGAGGAGCACAGCACCACATTTGCTTCCAAACACCTCGACTCATCCACATGGACACACACACAGGGGTACAGTACACGTGGCGGGAAGAGGAACTTGCAGAGCCCTGTGGTGGCGACAGCAGGGAGGTGGAGTTCTGGGAGACGTTAGCACTTTGGTTGGTTAAGGACGGTGGTCTCTGCCAGTGTGGTCAGAGTTAAGCCAGCAGTGACACTTAATATGTAGAGGGAACGAAAGGGTTCCAAGGTGAATATTGGTATCATTTCCCTCTTCTGATTATTTATTCTAATTATTTGGGTCTTAATGCAAACTAGGAAGAAACAGAACATAACTTTTGTTTTTCTTGAAGAGAACTATTTAAAAAAATTAAAGACATATTTAAAAAGTAACCAGATAAAAGTAGTACATTGTGCTTTTGTTTAAAAAATAAAGTCAAAAGTTTCATCAGGAACTTTGCATATCTCTAGCAGATATATTTTTATATGTGTATGGTATATAATGAAAATAGTCAAGTCTTCGAGCAACAAAAGGTGTTACTGACTACTGCAAGCTAAGCTGAGCTTTAAAATACCTTTTGTTTTAAATGGGCTTTGAGAAAGACCAGAAATGAGGGAATATTTCAAATAAACCAACTCAGTATCTTGTGGCTTGATAGAACAAGGGTTAGCTAAATATCTTGATATTGTAAATAGCTTCTATTGCTATTTACTATTTTATAGTGGTCTGGGATCTTAATTAGCTGATGGAATGAAACAAACAAAAACCAATGATTTCCTAAGAGTTCCTTTAATTAAGCAGTACTCTTTACGAATAACAGTATGAGATTTAAGTGCCTGGGGGAGGGATACAATTTTTTAAAATCACATAATTAGTCACTTTTGTTTCGTTTTTGGTGAGGGGAAAAAAAAAAGATGGTAAGTAGAAAACAGGGAGTGGGAAGGATGGCATGAAGTGAATACACTTTCCAATGACTGAAGAAGGAAGTCTATCCTTTCCCATGAAGAACCAGGACACTGGACATGTCGGATGTAAGCATGCAGCTGCAAACATCACAGTGACAGGAGGAGCAGTGCTGGGGGCATCACACAGAGAGCTTGCTGCTGATTCGCAGGAAGAGGGGAGGGTGTGGAAAGGGAGCACCACTTTAGCTGAAGAAGGGCCAGCTACATCATGTGTGGCAGCCACAGAGGAGCACGGGAGAGAGTTAGAAAGGAGCCCCTTGCCTTGCCCTCTGGCCCAGACGAGACAGGCTCAGTTGTACAGTGAGGGCTTCTCCGTGATGCCGCTGTTCTAACCTGTACAGCATCTGGGGGAAGAGTCTCTATGCTCAGATGTCTGGCTTCACCACTCAACACAGCTTAAAAGTAAAACAACTAAAAGAAATAGATTTAATCAAATAGTTATTTTTTGCACTTGAACTGAAATGTACTGTACTGTAAGTTATCATGACTCATTTTAAGTGACCTTTAAACCAGATGTATTTATTATGCTTGTGTAATTATAAAGAGATGGGTGACAGGCTGAACTTCACCTATGAATGTACAGTATGTGGATTTGTGAAAATGATTGTAGAAGTCAAAAATGTATACTGTATCTTGTGTTTACAGCTGATTGTTCTTTTGAAAAGCCTGCTGTTTTGGAAATGCACAGTTGACATGTTAAAATAAAAATAAATACCATCTTAAAATAACTCATAAAGGATAAAAATGTGACCAAACAAATAAAAGAATTTACTTTGTAATGCGTGAGACCACATTCAACACACTGTTGTTATGGAACGTTTACTGTGATTGTGGATTCAACAACACAGTCATTCCCAGCCTTTTAAGCTGACACCTTCCTGGGTTTGTGGACTTTGTGACTTTTCCTTCCTGCCCTTGAAGTGCCATATGCTACTTTAAAAGATATTAAAGTGAGTTCAAATGAAACTTCGATTTGAGAATTCTATGACCCCTCTTGGGGTCCCTGGAAACACCCAAGGGTGTCACAGAGTCCAGGCTGGTAATCACTGCCTTCGTGACTGACTTCCTACGCTTTCCCCTTTGATTGCAAAAACAGGGAATTACCTCAGAGGGCTGAGCTTGTGTAGCTCTAAAGAGGTGAGTTGCTCATTAAAGGACTCCTCAAGTCCTTAAGAGGAATAATAGATACACAGAACAATAGACGGTAAACCACATGAAAAGCCTAAGGAATTCATGGGAAGAACAACACACTGCATTACTAGCTGGTTAATCCTGCAGCCACATGAAAGCTTCCCTCGGACTTGCAGTTCCTTCCGGTACTGCTGGGGGTGCTGCAGGCGGCATCCGGGCTCCTTACTTGGGCAATGCTCCTTTTAACCAATTTGGAGCTGAGCGGTGAGTTTGGGGAAGGGGACCACATACCTGGATGTATATGGATGTGTACTGTTGTGTACTGATGCGATTATCATTTTGACCTTACAAAAACCGTACTGTAAGTTATCATGTGGTGATAAGTTATTACGTGGTAGCCAGATGTAGTAGCTCACTCCTGTATTCCCAGCACTTAGGGAGGCTGAGGTGGGATTGCTTCAGTCCAGAAGTTTGAGACTAGCCTGGGCAAAATAGTGAGACCCAGTCTCTATAATAAAATTTGCTAGGCATGGTGGCACACAGCTGTAGTCCCAGCTAATTGAGAGGCTGAAGTGAAAGAATCACTTGAGCCAAGGAAGACAGCAATGAGCCTCAACTCAGTCTGTGAGACCCCGACTAAAACAAAACAAAAAAACAACTGTAGATAGTATGTATCGCTATCCCTGTTTTAAACACGAGGATTCTGAAGCTTAAGTTATGGGGTCCAGATCACAAAGCCAGTATTCAAACCTGAATCCTTCCAATGCTAAAGCCCAGATCTACCCAGCACCTTCCTTACCACAAGAAGCAGGGAGGCCATTCCCTGCCGTGGCAGAGCAAATAATCAGTAGTCCCAGCCTGGACCGTCACTGTCCATGCCTGATACACATACATGTGTGGCTGTATTTCCAATTAGGATTTCTAGATATTCCCAGATTCCTAGAGATCCAGCACTTCCAAACTCCCCCCAATGCCTTGTTCATTTGAGGACACCAGACCTTTTACACTCTGGAGGTGAGTTGGCTGGATTGGTAACTCCATAGAGGAAACCCAGAGCTGGTAAGAACCCTGACCGGGCCGCAGGACTCGGAAGGGCAGGCAGACACACCCACAGCTTGGCATCCGAAGAACTTACTAGGAGGTTGGAAAGTACTCTAGTTGCACTATCCGGTATGATGTCAGGCACTTGAAATGTGGCTTGTGCTTCTGAAGGATCAGGTTTCTCGTTTTCAACATCCACACGTGCTCCTGGCTACCATACTGGACAGCACGGTATAGAGGAAGAGAACACCTTTGGGAGATCTCTGGACCTCCGTTTCCTCATCTTCAGGGTGAGAGCTTAAAGCCTAAAGTTACATCATTCTGCGAAGAGGAGGCATGTCTTTGGCAGCTGACTGCAAGCAAGGCCAATGCAGCTTTCCATTCACAAGTTCCCCAGGCTTGGGTGCATGTATGGGCAGCTATTTCCGATGCCCCAAGCCCTCCTGGGCTTTAAGAGCAAAGCTTTAAGAATACCTGGCTTATTTCCAAACCATTGAATGGTTGGGATAGAGGCCGGCGCCTGCATGGGGACAGAACAACTAGGCGAGAGAAAGGAGGAGTGGCTTCTCAGGTCAGAAGATGAGTGGTGTCATGCAAGAACAAACGGTGGTGTCTGAAAAGGAAGTACCGGGAAGCTTGCTGATGTGTTGCCTGGGGAAAAGCGAGCCAGTCCAACTGGGCACCTAACTCTCACCCCAGCACCACCGGCTTTGGGCAGCTAATTCAGGACCACTAGCCCCACTGTGTCTCCTAGAAGTTTTTAGGGGGAAACCCAGGGATCTTAGAGTGCTGCTGGGGTTAGGCATGTGGGCCCTGGAGGTGGGCTGTTGGGATTTGAGTTCCAGTTCTGCAGTGAGGACTTGCATGTCCACATCACCTCTCTGGACCTCAGGGCCCTCCTGTGTAAAGTGGAGGTGATAACAGTATCTGGTTACACACTGATGTTTAAATGAGGTACTGACACGTAGTGTTCACTCCATAAATACTGCCATTGTTGTGAAGAGCCCAGGGCAGAAGTGCTGTCTCCTGTCCCCAGCCAGGGCCTAGCTCTTAGTATTTTATTGATGCTTAAAAACATAATCAGCCGGGCTCGGTGGCTCAGCCTGTAATCCCGTGCCTTGGGAGGCTGAGGTGAGTGGATTGCCTGAGCCCGCGGGTTCGAGACCCGCCTGGACAACTTGGCGAGACCTCATCTCTACAATAAATCAAAAACTCAGCCAGGCGTGGTAGCGTGTCTGTAGTTCCGGCTACTTGGAAGGCTGAGGCGGAAGGATCACCAGAGCCCAGCAGGTCGAGGCTGCGGTGGCTGGGAGCGGACACTGTACTCCACTCTGGGTGACAGAGTGAGACTCCAACTCAAGAAAATAAATTAAAAAAAAAACATAATCATATTCCATTCTCCCAGTCTACAATATGATGCTATCTATGTATATTTATCAATATCTAGTAAGCTGTACCATAAAGCATTCAGTTCCAACATGCATTGTAAACATTAAGTGGTTGGAGAAATGAGTTAATTAAGGGATAAAATTTAGCATAACATAAGTTGAAAGGAGGGAAAAAAGATGACAACAATGACAATTCCAAAATGTGCAAAGTCTGCAGAGAGGGAGAGGTTATAAGAGGTTATGAGTTCCATAATTTCATTTTCCCTCTTAGAGGTGTCAACAAAAGTAAACATAGTCATTCAACAAGTTATATACCATACTCTTTCCCAGATAGCCAGCTGAGGGTGCTATTCTTTTAAATTGTAAACTTATATTTGAAAAAGCTCAGAAATCTTTTTGTTCCCGAAAAAGAGATCAATGGGGCCTTAGAAAAACAACATTAAAGCCTGGCACAGTGGCTTACACCTGTAATCCCAGCACTTTGAAAGGCCAAGGCAGGAGGATTGCTTGAGCTCAGGAGTTCAAGACCAGCCTGGACAACATAGCAAGACCTCGTCTCTACAAAAAAAGTCAGGTGTGGTGTTGTCCACCTGTAGTCCCAGCTACTTGGGAGGCTGAAGCGGAAGGATCACCAGAGCCCAGCAGGTCGAGGCTGCAGTGAGCCATGATCATGCCACTGCACTCCAGCCTGTGCAACAGAGTAAGACTCCAACTCAAAAACAAAACAAAACAAAAACTGCCCTGCTGCACAGGTGTATCCATGGGCTGTTGCTGTTCATATATAGCTGCTGGTGTGTGATGAAACCGAAATTAAGCACTTTGAAATGTGTATGGCAATTTGACATTGTCATGACATCATGATCACTGGGCTTACATTTTTATGTCTTTCTTAAATGACTATCGTTTTTATAATTTATTTTTAGTGTATCTTACAAAAGTATTATTTGTGATGAATGGGGGAACGGGCCCATCACCCCAGACAGCCTGAGAAGCACTTACCTGGGCTGGTGCCCACAGAGTGCACAGCTACAGGACCACATGACTGGCATGAGCACAGCAGCAGCAAAGATAGTCATCTCCTGAATGCACTATCCGTGGGGCTGTTTCCTTGATGAACTTTTTAAAAAAGACGACAATAAAGGAAGTTGAAAGAACATGGGCCCCAGAAGCAGACACACTGGTCTGCTTTTGATTCGACCACGTCAGCTATTCATGTCTTTCTGCAACCTTCTCTTACCTTCTCTGAGTCTTCTCAGCTGTAAAATGGAAATAATACAAAAACATACCACAGAATGGTCATGAGGTTCAAGTTAAGAGGCATGGGAGGTGCCTCCGACAGTGCCTGATGGGTCTCTAATAAATGTTGATACTCTGCCCCTTTCTCCTTTTGATCATTGCCTTTTTGGGGAAAAAGACCAACTCTTAAAAAAAAAACAATGTATTCAAATAATAAAGAACAACTATCCCGTTAACTGTATCTTCTAAGATATATCTAAGAAATGCACACTATCCATCCCAAATCTTTGGTGGTCTCTTGAAGTATCACATTCAGGGATCAGGAAAAAATATGCAAAGTGACCTTAACGCAAAGTTAACTGGCTTCTGGGTCAGAGAAAGACCAAAGATTTCAGTACATCTGAGCAAAAACATGCCCGCCGGAGGGGGTGGGATAATGATCAATAATAAAAGACTAAAAAAACCCAAAAAACACAGCAATCACAAGATAGGGAAAAGTTGGCAGGGCCTGTAGAGAGGAAGGGATGGTCTCTGCCAACAGACTTGGTATCTTGTCCAGTTAGCAAGGCTAGTCCCATGGGGGACGGGAAGGGATGTTTGCATTAGACTCTTTGGCCTCATGACATTAAGCATGTGAATTATATAACAAGCTCCCTTTGTTCTGTTTCTGTTCACTAAGTAGCTGCCTCATTATAATGTGAACCCTTGCTTGTGAATCTCCTCTGATAGAGAATCTGCTGGTCATATCAAGTGTGTTTGTCCTTATGCCAGTTATATTTTTGGCTGTGAATCACTATCTGGACTGACCATATGAATTGGCTAATGGGAGACAGATCTTCTTACGGTACAATAACAAAAATCAGAGTTCTGAGTCAGTAAGACCAAGAGTCACACCCAAAAGGTTAACTCAGCAATGTCATGCCTCCCAGTAGGGTCTCTTAGAAGGTAGCTTGCTCCTAGAGTCACCTAAAAATGTCTTACTGCAACCATCTTCAAAATTCCACATCCATTATGTTATCTGTGCACAGGATCTTACTGTCAGCTGGGACACAAGAAGCTAATTTATGAAGCTGTATATCTCTCGCTCTGTAGAATGATGAGGCACAGAATAATAACACACCCTATTTCTTTCTTGACGTCATTTCAGGGTCTTAATTCCATCTACATGTTTAGATAAATTGATGTAATCCATCATTTATTCCAAACCTCTTAAAATGGAAAATCTCTGAAATTTCCAGATTTTAAAAAGTCATACATTCAAATATTGTCCTAAATGTCAGATGAACACTCCCCTGTCATTCAGCCCTACGTGTTACTGGCAAACTATACAACTAATTCACAAAACATTTGTTGTGCTATGTAAGATGTGTTTTAAAACGTTTTAAAAAAATAACACTTGAATGGTACAATTGTTTAAGCATGGCCACCTACGCTGCATCTCACCCACACATCTGGTGTCAAAAAGTCCAGCTTACTAACAACAGCAAGCTTGTGAGGGCACCTAGCTAAGCCGTCACATGACAAAGGGCTCCGCTGGGCTCCATAATTGCACACCTATGGCATGTGGAGTGCCAAGTCAACTCCCAACCACCATGAAGGGCAGAGGCATTTTACTGAATGGCCGTTTGAGTTGGTTAAAGGCCTTTTAAATGCCTTAAAGGGAGGAGAAGAGGAGGAGGAAGGAAGGGAGGGAGGGAGAGTCAGAAAAATGGAAGGAAAGGAGGGACCAGTTTCTTATAAGAATTATCTGTACTTTTTTTTTTTTTTTTTGAGTTGGAGTCTCACTCTGCAGCCCCGGCTGGAGTGCAGTGGCATGATCACGGCTCACTACAGCCTCGACCTCCTGGGCTCAGGCGATCCTTCTGCCTCAGCCTCTCGAGTAGTTGAGACTACAGGTATGTGTCACCATGCACAGTCAATTTTTTTGTTTTTATTTTTTGGTGAGATAAAGTCTCACTATGTTGCCTAGGCTAATTTCAATCAAGCTCGTGGGCTCAAGTGATCCTCCCACCTTGGCCTCCCAAAGTGCTGGCATTACAGGCTTGAGCCACTGTGCCTGGCCTGAGAGTTATCTGCACATAGCTTGATGGGGATTGGCATTGTGACTAGTTCTAGAATACACCCAAATCAAATGAAAACAACACAGATACACCAAAAATGTCACAAGTAATGCTTTTAATTGTTTAGCTTCCCACAGTACTCACATAACAGAAACTGACAAACCCATGATTTCCTCTAAAAATAAACATGAAAAGCAATATCCTGGAAGCTATTATTTTTCTCACTCTAGCTGTCTTTACTGTGATGGTGACACCCAGCTAGTGGGTCCGCAAGAGCTGCCTCCTTCCCTGGGCAGCATCTCCTCACCCCAGCTCAGGTGAAGCCCAGTGGCTATCCTGGCTGGGATGTCTCTGGCAGCTCCAGTGGTCTGTTCCTGTGCTATGCACACACACACTCTGCTACATAAACCGCCTCCTGGGAGATGAATTTGGTGAGCACAAGCATTGATACAGCTGATGCATTTGAAATACATCACCAATAAATATCATTATAAAAACATGAAAATCAGATTAGACCGTAACAAAATGTTAGAACTTCTGTTTACACTTGTAAAATGGTTACCATAAATCTGAATGGAAGATTTTTTTAAAAAAAATCAGTCTATATTAAGGCACAGATTGAACTGAGTGGATTTTATAAAAAAAGCAAAGCTCCCAATATCAAGAGATGTCTGGCAAAAACAGACCTGTAAACACTAAGATACTGCTTCAAAGAGGAAATGGCATTTGAAAGACAACCTAGAAAGTTCCACATGGGTAGCAGCCATGCTCTTACCTCACCACTTAGAAAAATGACTAAACTTGGCTTAGGAGAGTGACAGTGTCCAAGTTCTCCACGTGTCCTGCCCTGTAACCATTCTCCTGGGAAGAGGGTATTCCTTCTTCTTTATGATTCTATCACAGCATAAAAGCCTGAGTTTGAATCTCAAAATAAAAATAAAAAACCAATTTAGCGACATCTTAGCCCTTAAGATTGTTTTACCATGCCCCTCTCTTTTCTCAGATCTGTGTTTCGGCCCCCTTGACTCAGGGTCAAAATTTATAGTAAGTCCCTCATTTCACTCTGTAGTTTAATATCATGTATCAAGAAAAGATTTGCTCTGTTAAAAAATCACAGATTTGTTTTGTGGAAAATTGTTACAAACATATATAGCTAAACAATTTTTAAAAATGGAACATTTAACTCAAAATGTCACAAGAATCTAATGCATTCAACTTCAAAGTACAAAAAAGTTATAGAAAGTGATTCTAATTTTTAATCCTTATGTATGCATATAAAAACCTTATCAAAATGTTAAAATATAATCTCCGGAAATGTTTCTCTTTATCACAGCTACTAAATAGCCAGTTGGCCATTAAAAAGAAATAAAACATGAAGTCCCCAATATTGTGAGACCGATGGCTCCTTGGTTCACACCTAAAGTTCTCTTCTACCTGGGTCACAAGACACTCCAGGGCTCAAGTTCTATCAGTGCTGCCTCCGCACAGCTTTGTGGTTATTTAACTTCCTCAAACCTCAATTCTACCACCATTAGCATCTTCCAAACATGTGTTCCAAGGAAGGCTAATCTCATGAAAAAGGGCTCTGTGGTCAAATTCTCCCTTCTAGGAGATTCACAGTGGTACATTAGCATCAGTAAAGGCTCTGAGAAGTCCGGAAAGTGCATTTGTTTGACAATGTACATTAGCATCAGTAAAAGCTCTGAGAAGTCCTGAAAATACATTAGTTGACCTCAGGATACCTTTACTGACTGGCACTTATTAGTATCCTGGGACCTATACTTTAGAAAACACTAGCTCTGCATCTCTCGGGTATCTTCTAGCATTTCCGTGGATGAAATACAGGAAGAGTAATACAGTCTCCCAACACAGGCACAAGGGATTTCAGGCCCAGGTATTGACCAGGTGCCGGCTCATGCTTACTGGCCCGTGAAGAACAGCATGCGTCCCTTCTTCCTAATCGAAGTCTTCATTCATGGAAAGTGGCCAGGACTGTCACAGGATCTCGCACGCATCTCCTGCACAACGAGCAGCAGAACCCACTGAGAGTAAGTTATCTTCAGTACAGGTTAGTTTTCCTTTCCAGAATGAACGATTTTCCCCACAGCTTTTGCTGCTGTTCATCAGGACAGTCCTGCCCGCTGTTCGTAGGACCCCCGTCCTTTGTCCACTTCTTGTCCTGGATGGAGTCAACCCGCAGAGGAGTGCCCGGCAGCCCGCGGGTTGAAGAGCTGCTCCTCCAAGAAGGTGCCCCCAAGGCCATACTGCTCTTCATGCAGACGGATCTCTTCCGGCGACAAGTGGCTTCCTCCAAGAACAAAGTCTGCAAATCTGGTAAGTTTTTGTCAATGTTAAATAAAGTTAATGTTATCGCAGGAAAGTTTACTTGGAAGATAATGTATTCCCTTGCGACTTATCCCCTTTAATTAAGTCTGACTTTGTGTCAACAGAGGATGGCATTTGCACAGTGGGTGTAACAGTGGGAATGGCTTATGGAAAGGGCAGAGAAGCAGGCAGACACACAAGCACCACATGCAGCCAAATGTACCCCCTCCTGTTTTCTAACTCCTTCTTGTCTCTCATTTCTTACTAGCTCAGATTTGTTATTTATTCATCATCTTGGTGTCAAATGCTTTCCCCCTTCCATCTTTTACTTGAGGGTGCTGTGATCTGGATAAAGTTAAGAAGGGAAAGCATAAGAAAAGACATTGAGACAGATGTGTCTTTCCTGGCAAACGTCAAAAATGCTTTTCCCGCCAGGCACATGGCTCATGCCTGTAATCCCAGCACTTTGGGAGGCTGAAGCAGGAGGATCACCTGAGCCCAGGAGTTTGAGACCAGCCTGGGCAACATAGCAAGACTTCATCTTTATGAAAAAAGTTAAAAACTTAGCTGGGTATGGTGGTACACGCTTGTGGTCCTAGCTACTCGGGAGGCTGAAGCAGAAGGATCACCTGAGCCCAGGAGGTCGAGGCTACAGTAAACCGTAACACTGCTACTGTACTCCAGCCTGGGCAACAGAGTGAGACTCCTGACTCAAAAGAAAAAAGAATGAAGAAAAATGCTCTTCTACACCAGGAGAATGAGAAGCAGGTCTCCCATCCTCTCCCACCTTTCCCTTCACCATATGGAAGTTACCTTTATGGTTTTCCCTCTAAAATATCAGACCAATACTTATTCTGACACCACAGTTTTACCGTGCAGGGTCACAGCACTAAGAAAAAGAGCCTCTTATGGTCTCCACTTACTATGTTATTGGGGAAGAGGTCCTCTAAGGGAAGTGTCCCCTAAGGGAAGCATCTGTGCCAAACCAGCATTTTCAGAATTGCTCTGACCACAGCTGTGGCCTGGGCCATGGGGCAGGGCTTACTTTCCAGGGGTCTGGAGCCTGGACACGGCCAGCCAGGATGGGAAGTCGGGCCTGCGGCAGGCACAGCGCAACCCCTCCAGCGCACGGGACGTCTCGGCGTCGGCTTGCTCCCTGTACTCGTCTTCTGAGAGATGCTTGACCACCAGCTTCTCTGAGGTCAACCATGGCTTCATTTTCCTGAAACATGGCATTTGGTTGCTAGATCCCTGTCCAACTTAATCCTTCAGGTTGACAGATACACATTTCTTAAGAATTCCTAACTTCCTTTATAGCATACCTGTGCCTTTTTATTATATCATGCCTGAGGTATAGAAGTCATGTAGTGTGGGCCTAAGAGTATATTCCCCGCTCCCTGGCCTGTCATAAATAATGTCCTAGGGCATTCCAGAATCATTTTCTGATAGAGAGAGAATTGTGATTTTCTTCCTTGGTGATTTCGAATCACACACTCAGACAAGTGCCAGCCTGCTGGCCTGCTGACTTTCTTGGGCACTAACAGAGGTGAGCCTTTGAGATGTCCTTTTATGGAAAACCACTAGAACACTCTAGACCAAGAGGCTGGGAGGATTTCTGAGATATCGCTTCCACCTAGTGGTGGTGATTCTGACTAATCCTAGAGAAAAAGAGTAAATACTGTAAAAGGTCTTTTATGTATAATAATTTATAATAACTCTTCCTTCGTTACATGTTGAGGAGCTCATGACTGGAAACTTCTTTTTCCAACCAGGAAAGTCCTAAATCTCATACTGTAGGAATCTAAGAATCTCATAGAAACAGAAATGATGCCAAGATTTTAAAAACATGTATGTTTTATTTATCAATGAGTTTTAACAAATGTTCTGGGGTGGTTTTTAATTTAACCAGAGATTTCCAAATCTGAACAAGAATCAGAATTACCGGGAAGTTTTAAAAATATATGTATTTTCTTGAGGGTTGGCATCTAAAATATCAATGATCTTTTAAAGATTTTATGGTCGATGAGCTGGATCGAGGAACCAGACGTTATTTCCTTGTCCTTTCTAAATACCTAGCTATGGTTCCCCTACAGGAAATACCCTGGCCTCTAAGCCAGAAGGCCTGGACACAGTCCTGGCTTTGAAGTTTGGTCACTGTGTGAACTTTGGGCATTCCTGAACAGGGCAGAGCCTCACTTTGCTCACAAGAAAAAAAATGAAAGCAAAAATATCTACCTCATAAGGTCACTGTACAGACCACATGAGACATTCTGTGTGAGGGGCTTAGCACAGCAAGCGGCTTGTATTAAGTGTTTGATAAAGACAGCCAAAAGGGTGGCTGCCATATATTATTCAAATATACACAAACAGCTCTTTGCAAACAAGAAAGTACAGTAAAAAGCAAGGTCTCATTCCTCTGGTATATTATTTAACCTGTAAGTTTCTGTTTTATTCCCTAGTTCTTCGTGTAGTTGTTCACTAGCAAAATTCAAAGAGGAAGTTATAGTACATTTTATTCTGATTCTTACAGAAAACACAGCAAGTGCATAAAAGAGCCACCAGGTAGGACACACTTTGCTCTTGGCAGGGCAGTTAGATGGTTCAAGAGAAGGAAGAAGTATTTCCCTCCTGGGTCCCTCGGGTCACAAGCTCGGTATGGGGCCAGGGCCTGGGGAGTAGAGTGGCAGCATCTCTGGCGGAGACCTGGTGTTCCCAGTCTCTGTCTGCCCCAGATCGAAGGGACAAAAAGAGAACCAGTCGGTGACACCCTCCAAGCCTGACCTGCTGCCTTCTGGCCTCGCCAGCATCCTCTGCATAGGTACCGGTCCTGTCACTGGTGCATTTTCAACCCCATGTTGTTGCCACATATGCAGTCATCCATAAACTACCTATCACCAGTGTCCTTCCTCACAGCTAATTTTTACCTCTCAAGCATTTATTCACTCTGTCTGCCCACCTTGGTCCCCTGGTCCCACTCCAGGACCTCCTCATCTCTTGCCTGGGTCACTCCGGTGTCTGATGACTGGTTTCCTGCCACAGGGGCCTCCCCCATCACCTGGGCTACTGTCCACCAGCCGTGAACATCCATGGTCTCTGGCTTGAGTTTCGTTTGTTGAATGTATTTTTATTTTTAATTAGATTTGCTGCCAACATTTAAAAACCCTGAGAATTTACATTCTAATCCTGATCCCCATCTCCCATTTTTCTGGAAAACCAGCAGGGTTGGCAATGCAGAGGCCATATCCCCTTTCTTCTCCTCTTAGGCTCAAGCTGAGAGTGACTGCCCCTATCTGAGGAGGCTGCACTGCAGAATTTCCCACAGTCCCCCAGTCACGCCCGTCTCACTCCTGCTGGGCACCACTCTCCAGGGTCTGCCTGGGTGCCAAGCTGCTGGGTTGGTAACTCTTGTCTAGGTAGCAATCCCAGAGACAACTGAAATGGATAATGATCCAATCCCTCTGTATATGGATCTGGACTAGGTTCCCCAACATGGCCTGTTGCATCTCAGGCCCAAGCCCACCTCACTCTTGGCACTGCCTGTCTTGTGATTGTACCACAGGCCTTCTCTCCCACAGGGAAACCCTCCACATTTATCCATCTGGTTACTTGGATTCTTTCTTTAAGACTCAGCCTAGTAATATCGCCTCAAGGGAAGCTTCCCTGAACTGTCTTTAAGTCCCCTTGGTCGCTAGGCCAGCGAGGACCATCTGTATCAGTGCACCTGACATGAAAACAGGTGCTCAGACTTGGTGGTTGAGGAGAGAAACAACAGAGCTTCTGTCATCTTCCTTTCTGTACTTCAAAGGGCTTAGCCTTCACTTAAAACCAAAGGGAAAAAAAAGTCCTGAATACAAACAATACCTTTCAACCATTTATGATTCATGTGTTTCCTGACTCTTATAAGCACAACTAACACCATTAAAGCAGCCTTTGGCTCTAATGGAAGGAAATGATGAATAAAAGCAGAATTTATTTTAGGCTATATGCAGTGGCTCATGCCTGCAATTCCAGCACTTTGGGAGACTGAGGTGAGAGGACTGTTTGAGCCCAGGAGTCTGAGACCAGCTTGGGTAATATAGCAAGATGTCATTTCTACAAAAAAAAATTAGCTAGGTATGGTAGAACCTGTCTGTAGTCCCAGCTACTTGGGAGGCCGAAGGATCCCCTGAGCCCAGGAAGTGGAGGCTGCAGTGAGCTGCGATTGTACCACTGCACTACAGCGTAGGTGGCAGAGTAAGACCTGGTCTCAAAAAAAAAGAAAGAAAGAAAAGTAGAGATTTTAGGTAACCCAGAGCACAAGTAATGTTGTATTTTAGCAAACTGTGGGTGAGCCCTGATTACCTAGTAATTGGTGGCACACTTCTGAAAAATTAATGAAGACTAGGAACAGACATGGGATCAGATGCCTGGGGCTCTCTTCCAAGTGAAATCTCCAGATTAAACGTAATTATGAGATTAACTATGATGTGTCCAAGAAATCCCTGAAGTAATACATAAAACCAGAACTCGAAACATCAAGTTCACCAGGGAAAAAAACCGCTTGTCCCACCTCAGATAACTAAGTGCTTTCAGCACGTAACGTAGACTCCGGGAGGATGGGAGGAGGATCACGGCTGCAAGGGCAAGCTGAGGCACAGCCACACCAGCATAGACTAGGACCAGGGAGAGCAGCCGCAGCGTCCATGTCAGGAGACGCCTGCTCCTGTCGTCCTCAAGGGGCCCGTGTTTGTAACACACAGCAAAGCTGAAAAATCCAACTATCAAGACATAGCCTGGAAAAGCAGAAAAGAGAAAATAATGTGAATCTGAACCAGAAAAATGTTGCAAAAAACCTGGCTGAGCCTTGACTTAAAAATAAGAGCATATTAGAAAAACTTTAATTTTTGTTTTCTTTTCCCCAAGAAATAAGGTTGAAAGAGGCACATAGGGCCAGTTATTCCTTCCATAGGAGACATCAGACTGACTTCTGTACTAATTGGCAATGTATAATCATTCTTATTATGATATCTAAGCATATCTGTGTCTCAGTCCAGTGTCCTAAATGTTCTTATGGTTGCTTTGGTTAAGAATAAGTCATAGTTGTATATCACAGCCTGCTACAAACCCTGTGTGTTATTCTTACCTTCCAATTATAAAAGAAAAGGTGATCTTACAGCAGAGGACTCACGCAGGCACCCAATGGTGAGTCTCAACATACTGGTGATGGGACTGACTATCAGGTGATCTGTATCTCTTGTGGGGATCAAGGTGAAGTGCATTGTTACTTCTCATGTATGTCTAGCATGTACCTAACCAAGCCTTGACATCTAATTTTCAGTTTACAGAAAACAAGGAGAAGCGAGAAACATGTTAAATTATACCACAATGGAGTCCTCAGATATATTCAGAAAGTGGACACTATATAGGACAACTAGCCAGGTCTCTTCAGCATATCACTCGATGGAAAAGGAACTGCTATAGACTGAAAGAGACTTACAGGATAAAACAGATACAAACTGTGGTTCTGGGTCAAATCCTAGATTGCACAAACTGTCAAGGATGACCAGGTAATTTTACTATGGCCTGGATAACAGATGATTTTATGTATTTTTTTTTTTCAAGATTTAGTAGCTAATTGATTTTACAGGAGAATGCTCTTGGTTTTTAAAGATGAATAGTGATGTATTTGGGGGAGCATATCATGATATCTGTAATTTACTTTAAAAATAATTTAGCATAAAAAGAAAAATGAGGTAAAAACACAATTTTCAAGTAAAACAAAAATTAATTGTTTTTGTTTTGAGGGAGGTGGACTTATGTGAGAAATCTGGTGCTAAGAGTTAGTAGAAAATTTATTTTCTCAATGTCCCATAATTTTCTAATTAAAACAAATGAACAATAAAAAGTACTTCTTTTGTAACACAAAACAAGGAAAATAAATGTTTTCTTAGCCTCTCTGTTTCTGAAGTCAGGTTTTCATTAGTCATTTATATTTGAAATTTCTTACCTTTCCTACTGTGAATACATTAAGAGAAAGAAACAGCCACATTGCAGAGAAACTTTTACATTAAGATATGCTTAGAGTTAAACCACAGTCCAGAAGCACATGTGGTCAAAAGGCACAGATGCTTTTCTTCTCTTTTGATCATTAAGATAGAAAACTAAGAAAGATATAACAAATCATCTAAAATGAGATCTAAATGAACTGAAATCACCAACTATGGGAATAAAATAAACAAAATATGATTTTTAATAGCAACTCTCCTTAGTTCAAAATGAAAATTTAGACGTTGGAGAGACACATCCGCCAAAAGAAGGCCTCTGGTTGTACTTGTCAGTGTAACCAACAATAGGGCGTATTTTTCTCATATTTACCTACCTAATACATATATTCTGTTCTCACACCAAAGGCACTTCAGATCTTCCATCAACTGGCAAACAACATAAACTGAAGCAAACCAACAACCAATCATTAGAGCCCCAAAGGTGCTATACTGTGTGTGGAAGAAAATAAATGACACGATTTTTGGTTCATTTGCTCTCACAAAAATAAAAGCAAACAAGTAAACACTGCATTAGAAACATCTATGTCAAACTGAATTGAAGTCCATTTAAGACACGTAATAGAGTCTTCTTATTCAAAGTGTGGTCCATGAAACCACATGAATACCTGGTGTGCAACAACAATGGCTTACACGGGGTTGTATGGGACTGGAAAATTCCCAGGCCCTGACACAGACCATGTTTTAACACAAACCCCAGCTGACTTATTTGGACATTCAAGTTGCAGAAGCACCGTTACAAGGAATCAGTAAGTTTCAAAGTAATGCTGATGGTGTAAGCTTTCCTCTGAGTAACTGCAACACCTGTATCATGAATTGACATGTACTTATGGTCAATGACATTCAGGGTATTCTTTGATGATTGGAGGTGTGTGGGAGAAACTAATAATAAGGAAGAATTCCCCAGATGTGACAGTGTTGTTATTCAAGGCCTCATGGTTTAGCGCCACAAGGTTCCTAAGCTCTGCCAGGAAAACAGAAGTTTTCACTTAGTATAGAAATAGTCTCTTGTTACTCAAGAAAAACATGTGACCTAGAAAATAGAAGGGTCTCAAAAAAAGTATCACTAAAACTTAATACTTAGTTAAGCCCACATATACTAATAAGTACAAACAGAACCTCCAGAAAAAGGTATTTTAAAGCCAGTTATACATGAGGAGGGGACCCCCAAAAAACCAGAATTATTTTTGGAAGGGCAGGCCCCTTGTAATATAGGCATCCCCTGCTAGGAAGGACTTTAGGAACCCATCCCATTGGCATCGGTATAGTAGCTAGTGTCATTGTGAGAGGCTGCGTTAGGCTTTCAGTTATTTTATTTATTTATTTAGGAGATTTTTTTTCAATGCATTTGCCCATTTCAAAATGGGTGCTTTACAAGCAGACCTGCCCACACCGTCGTGCTGAGTGTTCAACAGTTTTAGACCAAAACTGGCATGACCCGTGCCTACCCTCTTTATTCACCTGATCTCGCCCCTAGCAACTTTTTTGGTTTGCCTGGATGAAAAAATTCCTCAAAGGGAAACATTTTGCTGATGTGAAGGAAGTGAAACAAAAAATGGCAGAAGCACTGAAAGGCATCAAAATTGAAGAATTCAAAAACTGCTCTGAGCAGTGGAAAAAGCATCTTGATAGGTATAGTGCATCAAACGGAAAGTACTTTGAAAGTAACTGAAGTTTACATGTGTAACAATAAATATACAATTTTTTATATATAAATCCTGGCCTTTTGGGGGTCCCCTCTTATAATGAAGAAACAGTTTGAATTAATAAAGTGAATTAATTTTTATGAGTTTTTCATGCCTGTGAGATCACGGTTTTCAGTTTTTAGTCACATGCACATGGCATGCCTACCTTTGGAATGTGCCTTTTCACCAACAGCAGGACAAAGACTAATGTCATTAGAACACCTAGCATGGTCCCCGAAGAGTAATAGAAAATAGGGCTTCTGTCAAGACAAGCAGATAAAAGCCACTTAAATGCCCAGTAGCACTTTCAGGATGAAAAACATGTTTAACCTAGCGACATAAAAATACTAAGTAGTCATAAAAACACTAAAGAAGGAAAACTCAGTAGCTCCAATTATATCCTACACTCTTAAAAATTGAAACTGGTATTTGAAATGTGTGGTAAATAGCTTGCCACTAACTCCAAACAGAATGTCTGTCTTATCTTCTATATTCAGAATCTGATTTGACAATAATTACTGAATACCTATCAGGTGGCTGGCCCCTGTCTGAGAGATTTACATGCATTCCTGACAGCCTGGAAAACAGCTCTCCATGTGCAAAGTTTCCTTCTTCTTCTGTAGGAAAGAAACTGTAAGAATCTAAATATCAGAATGAGGTATTCCTCCAAGAGTCGGATATTTATCATACTCATTCTTCTGTATCATGCCACAAATCTAGGAGGCAGCTCTAACCTAACAGAGAGAACAAGGCATCTGGCACCAGAAAATCTGAGAATCTCAGTCCTGGTCAGAACTAGCTGTGTAATGATGAAAGCTGCTTTCCTCACCTATAACACAAGAGTAGTAACACAGAACTCGTGTAGCCTTTCAGGATGCAGTAAAATAAAACACGTTAATACATAAAATGACATACATGAAAGCCCTTCGTAACACATACATATCATGCTGTACAAATAACTGCTGCTGTTTTTGAAGCTCTTTCAAGAACTCTCTTCAGACCTATTATGTGTAAAACCTAAGTTGGCATAGGGTCAAAATGATCTATGCTGCTCTTGAATCACCGAGTTGAAAATGCAAAAATGAATACTCACTGACTCAAGGTCTCTGCATAAAAGAAAAGGAAGACGCCTGCCACAAACACAAGGAAGAGTTTGAAATCCATGACTGGAGTAAAAAGACACAAACATTTTGTATCAGTGTCATGTTGGCAAATGAGGAGAAATGTCAATTTATTAACACATGACTCCAGAAAAACTGAATCCAGAAAGTCAAGTGTAATGAAAAGTGACATACGGTTTCGCTTCACACTTATGGTGTAAGTAAGTATCTTCCCGATGGGCTCTACAGAGAAGCACATAGTGTCCCCATGTGGATTGATGACGATGGTTATTTCATTAGACTCCTTTGGTGTCCAAAAGTTATGAATCACGCATTTGATATAAGATAGCATGGTTTCTGGATACTGGCAATTATGTCTTTCAGTGATATATACAATACTGAGCAGACCTGGACTGGTAATTTTCACCTACAAAACAAGAACAAACAAATATGTAAACACAGAAGTAAAAACTTCTTATAATCTCCTTTTAAAAATGTGCAGGGGAATAAAGGGGACCCCAAACTGGCTGAGTACAGAGCACTCAGATGGGCAGGGTGGCATTCTGATCCCAGGGGCAGGCCTGACAGTCCAAACACACAATGAACCACAGACAGTTTAAAAATAAACATTTCTTCCCCCGAATCATGGCTGATTTAATTCCCTCTTCTAGCAAGTTATGGTGGCCAAGAGACACATAAAAAAGGATGAGATAGAAAGCCCAGGCATACTTCATTGTGCTTTGCAGATACTGCATTTCTTACAAAGTGAAGGTTTGCGGCATCCCTGTATCGAACAAGTCTACAGGTGCCATTTTTCCAGTGTATGCTCATTTTGCGTCTGTCAGGATTTTTTTTAGCAATAAAGTATTTTTAAAATTAAGGCATGTGGGTTTTTTTTTTAAAGACACAATGCTATTGTACACTTAATATTATTGACTACAGTATAGTATAAACATCACTTTTATAGGCACCCGGAAACCATAAAATTTGTGACTTGCTTTATTGCAATATTTGTTTTATTGCAGTGGTCTGGATCTGAGCCTGCAGTATCTCCAAAGTATACAATAGGTGGCAAACTATTTGGTTATGAATGTAATGAAAATAGAGTTGACACCACCACCACTTTCATACTCTGGATCAGCACGTCATTCAGGCTTTTGTCACTATGCCTGCTGAAGAACCAGGATCCAGCCTCGGGTCCTGCCCAAATCACACCACGAAGCACTGCCTACAAGCAGATGGTGACAACCCAGAAGTCATTAAATGACAATTCCGCTGCAGCCTTTGTCTGTCCCTCTCTCTAAGCCTGAAGAGGGGACAGCCTCAGCTTTGACATTCTGGCACCAGGTGACATCACCCACTGTCTACTTGCCACCCCCTCTTTTCTCTTCAATTCTGCTCCTGGATCACTGCTGCCCCCTCCAGTGCTACTTGCTGGGGGATTTTGATTGCTTATAAATGTAATGAAAATACAATACATACACCAAATATATACAACACGCACACCGAAACTCTGGGCCCCTCAGTTCCTGGACTCCCTTCCTCTGATGCCCATCCTCTGCCCCGACTCAGCAGATCACTCCCATGGCTGGGACCTGGACCTGGACAATCCTAACCTGCAATCCTCCATACACCATGCTTACGTACTCCACTGGCTGACCAGCTCCCCCCATCTTTCCAGCGTGCCTCTAGCATCTGACCTCACCAAGGATCTGAACCTCCTTCCCTGGCTCCCCACTCCTTGGTGTCTTTGCAGCCCTCTTGCTCTGTCCCAGTCACCTGCAAAATCCAACTTGCCACCTGTTCCACTCTTCCATTTGCACGACTGAATGTGCTGGGGAAAGGCATGGCGGTCTCACTTCAAGTCCACAACTGTGAGCAGGAAAAGGGACCTGAGAGCTGCAGTAATGCATACCACACATCCCTATCCACTCATGCTTCCACTCGCTTCAATAAATACTTCACAACTTCTCCTGCCTCGATCCTCCCACACCTCCTGCCATCCTCATTCTCAGATGATTCTTCCTACTTCACTGAAAATGGGAGAAACCAGAAGAGGATGCCAATGGCTCCTGTCTCCATAGCCATCTACCTGTCGGCCTCCGTAGGCATGTGCTCAGTCTCCTGCCCGTGGGGAGGACACGTATGTGCTCCATCCAAGGCAAACCCCAACTCATGCACTGGCTTCTGTCCACCTTTGCCTACCCAAGGACATAACCCGCACTTCTAGATCATCCCCATCAGCATATATATATGTATGTATTTTTTTTTTTTTTGTCAGGCCCTCACTCTGTCACCCAGGCTAGAGTGCAGTGGAGTGATCATAACAGCTCCCTGCAGCCTTACTCCTGGACTTAACTTGATCCTTCTGCCTCAGCCTCCAGAGTAGCTGGGACTAAAGGCTTGCACCACCAGGCCCGGCTAATTTGTTTTTTTTTTTTTTTTTTTTTTTTGTAGAGATGAGGTCTTGTAATGTTGCCCAGGCTGGTCTTGAACTCCAGGGCTCATGCGAACTTCCTGCCCTAGCATCCAACAGAACTGGAATTACAGGCATAAGTCACTGTGCCTGGCCAGCATACATTCAAAAAGAAAAAACAATCTCTCTCTTTTTTTTTAGGCTACACTTTTTTCTTTTTAAAGCACCATCGGAATAGTTTCCATCTTAAGTACAATTGCAAAAGCTGTATTGTGTTGGCATGCTGTTAATGACATTGTAGCCGAGAATCCCAGCCTTGAAATGTTTATTATTAATATTTTTTGAGTCAGGGTCCCACTCTGTTGCCCAGGCTAGAGTGCAGTGGGCGATCACAGTACACTGTAGCTTCGACCTCCTGGGCTCAGGCAATCATTCTGCCTGCGTGTGCCTGGCCCTTAAAATGTATTTTGTTAAGTCACACTCCCAGTGGGGGCTCCAGAATGTTAGATCAGGCCTGCGGGACATGGGTGTCTGCGATCCAGTGCCTTGAGAAAGATGCAAAGAATTGCACAGAAATTAGACTGGAAAACATAGTTTATTTTTAAAGTAAATTAGGGAGAGAGGAGAGAGAGAAGAGATTCATCTCCCCAAGGGAGGGGAGGGGGTCAAAGCTTAGGGAACATGATGGCCATAGCTCGAAGAGCACATGGCCACACCACAGTCTAGTAAGGCAATGGCCCGAAAGAACAACCTTCTATGGACTCCACTTTTTCCTCTACTACCCCTCATTTCTTTGCTTCTCATTCCAATGAATGAAATGCTTTTAAAAAGCTGCCTGTGCCTGCAGCCTCCAGAACATCTTACTCTAAGATCTCTCTAACTCACTTCAGGCAGGCTTTCATTCCCAACAGCCTGCCCCACAAGGTCACCGATACCACTATGTTGCTAAATGAAACGGCCAGTGAATTCTTAGGCTTCTTAGGAACCGGCCAACACCTGGCCTGCAGACCGTTCCCTTCTCCTTATCACCCTTTCTCCCCAGGACTCCCAGGACATCTCCCTCTTCACTGTCTCTCCTCGCCTGCCTTCTCCTGACCTCTTCATGTAAGACTGACCCAGGCTCAGCCATGGGTCCTCTTCTCCATCTAAACTTACTCCTCAGTCTCATGGCTCTAGGTACCATCGATATCAGCATGCATCACTCCTTACTTCTGCAAAAAGAGACACAGGAAAGCTGTGCCAGAAACCACCCAGACTAATTGCCCACCAGGGCTAGGGAGGACTGAACTGAGGGAACAGTGGGAATGACACTTCACTGAGAGTACTTGGGGCAGAGTTTTAATTTTTAAGCTACATTAATAATGTATACACTAAAAATTAATTATAATAAAATCAACCAGGCTGGGGGAAAGCTCTGAAATGGAAACAAGTAAAAACTATATTTTGATGAAAATACATCCAGACTGAAGTGGGGGGGGGTGTGAATGGGAATGAACTAACCTAAGGTAACTTTTGAGCACAGTATTTAGATAAAACCCTTAGTATTTAGATAGTAGCCTCACTGAACTCCTGTGGCTAGCTTTGTTTTTTGCAGTGGCATGATTTGACAATCCTGAAGCTACTTTCAGTATATGAGGGGAGACCCCAAAAAACCTAGAATTATCTTTTGGAGGGCGGGTCCCTGGTAGTACACTTTGAATTTGTTCCTCTGGATCAGTCAAACAATGTTTTTATCTGGGAGTTTTGAGAAGGTTGCGTCATGATCTGCGGAAGAAACGTCGCGAGTTGTGGCAAACAGGTGATGCTTCTTCCACCATGACAACACACCTGCCCACACTGTACTGAGTGTTCAGCAGTTTCTGACCAAAAATGGCACGACCTTCATTTTCCATCCACCCTATTCACCCAATCTCACCCCAAGCAACTTTTTTTTGCTTCCCCAGATGAAAAATGTCCTCAAAGGGAAACATCTTGCCGATGTGGAAGGGATGAAACAAAACGCGGCAGAAGCACTAAAAAGCATACAAATTGAAGAGCTCAAAAACTGTTTTGAGTATTGGAAAAGGCATCTTAAAAGGTGTATTGCATCAAATGGAGAGAATGTGGAAGGTGACTGAAGTTTAAACATGTAAGAATAAATACACAGTTTTTTAATCAATAAATTCTAGGGTTTGGGGGGGTCTCCCACACATTCTAGGTAGGCAAATAAATATATCTGAGGAGACTGGGAACCAGGTTTCTCACTACCAGAGAAAGGAGTTATGAACACTTCAAGTGGAAGACTAGAGTGAACCCTGTGGTGCTGGAGACATCAGAATTTACGGTAGATACAGATGTGTGTGCAGGTGAGTGAGTGGGTGTGTGTGTGTGTGTGTGTGTGTGTGTGTGTGTGTGTGTGTGTGTGTATGTGTGTATGTGTAAACATGACATTGACATTCCCATAGCAATGAACACACCTAATGTTGAGTGCCCCTTGGAAAAATGTATGTTTCCAAAGCTGAAACATCTTCTTTGTTAGAAAATAAAGTTGTAGCCGGGCTCGGTGGCTCAGCCTGTAATCCCGCACCTTTGGAAGGCTGAGGTGAGTGGATTGCCTGAGCCCGCGGGTTCGAGACCCGCCTGGGCAGGCGAGACCTCATCTTTACAATAAATCAAAAAATTAGCCGGGCGTGGTAGCGCGCGCCTGTAATTCCGGCTACTCGGAAAGCTGAGGAGGAAGGATTGCCGGAGCCCAGCAGGTCGAGGCTGCGGTGGCTGGGAGCGGCCACTGCACTCCAGTCTGGGCGACAGAGTGAGACTCCAACTCAAAAAAAAAAAAAAAGTTGTGTTAAAAAAAAAAAAGGCACAAGTTAAAAGGACACAGGTGACAGTGCTCATGCTTATAATCCCAATACTTTGGGAGGCTGAGACAGAAGGATCCCTTGAGCCCAGGAGTTAGAGACCAGCCTGGGCAACAGAGTGAGACCTCATCTCTAAAAAAAAATTAAAAGTTAGCTGAGTATGGTGGTGTGCACCTGTAGTTTCAGCTACTCAGGGAGCTAAGCCCAGGAGGTCGAGGCTGTGGTAAGCTGTAACCGTGCCACTGTGCTCCAGCCTGGGCAACAGGGTGAGACCCCAACTCAGGGGGAAAAAAAAGGGGGGACACAGGATCTAGTTTGAAGAGGCTCTCACTAACCAAATCTAGGACAATTTGAGTATCAAAAAAAAATGATGAGCATAATGAATTGTAGTTCACAGAAAGATTGGCAATTCATAAGACTATATAGATATAAACAAACAAGTAAATAAATAGGTCCCTATAGTTAAATGTTAATGAATGTAAAAGGAATAATGGAATTAGAAAGTTCTCATTCGATAGACATCATCATGATAACTGCTTCAGGAAAGCATCATCAATGGATGGTAAAACTTGTGGTGCAAGTCTGATGAGGAACAGGATATCTACACGATCTCAAATTAGTTCCTTAAAATACTCATTCATTCAAAAGGCAAAAGCTAATTTTACAGTGGCAGAAGCTGACAAGTACCACTCTAACCATGTGACCAAGGTAGTGTATCGTATCAGTAATGGTCCCTACCAATCCCATGTGCTTCCTGACACTCAGTTCTTCCCTTGGTCCAGAACACTCTTTCCCCAAGTAGCCCTTTGGGTCACTCACTCACTCCACTAGAATCTTTCTCAGACGGTATCTTCTCTGTGAGAACGACCCTGATCACTCTCTTCAATACATCCCTGCCCCCACTCCCCTCATCCCACTTACCTCACACTACATTTTCTTTCCTCATGGTCTTTACCAGTTTAATCATTCTCTTCTCTGTGACATTTACTGCTTACTATTCTCCACCCTGGATAATGTTCATATGGACAGCAGCAGGGATTTGTTTTCTTCATGGATGCATCCTAAGAGCCTAGAAATAGTTCCTGGCCCTTAATAGGTGCTCAATAAACATTTGTTAAAGGTTGAATGAAGGAATGTACTAGGCAATTGAGAGCAACTGTTATCTTGGCCTTATCTGGGATCAGAGGTTGTTCCAGAATTTCTACATGGTGGGGCTCTGGGTAGCAATTTTGGAAAGCAGGAGGGCAAGTCTTGAGATGTGTCTGGATAGCAAGCATGCCATATTTGCTTAGATAGTGGATTCATCTGAAGTGGTGTGGGGAGAGGTTGAAGAGTTCGTTGCCTCACACTGCCCTCCCAATGAGCCACTGTGTGTGAACCCAAGTCAGCTTTCGTACTAATGCACAGCTCTGTGACATGCAAAAGGTGCTTTCTATTCTCGAAATGGCACATCTTAATTCCCCATTCCTAAGACACGATTTCAAAGTAGCCCCTTACCTGCATAGTTGACCATGTATACCTCCAATCCATCTGGGAATTTTGATTGTAGCAGTAACAGTCTGACTCAGAGGTTCTAATTAAATCCATTTCCTTCAAAGTTTTACACCCTGGAACTGAGAGATAAAACGGGAATACATGTTCTAAATCTAGACTTCACCAGAATTTTTTTTTTATTCACAGGGAGATCATGGTAGCAGCTTTAACATTCTAGACCAATAAATTGGTCTACACGGTAATTACAGTCCGCCAGTCTTTCCAACAAAGCAGGAGATAGACAGAAAGTGCTACAGCCCAGTGTCAATACTCTTGTGACACGCGGAGGGTACTGTAAGAGCACAGAGAACAAGCACTTCTTCAGTACTGAAGGGGAGGGCAAGAACGAAGGGTGGCTTTCCAGAAGGAACGGTGCAAGAGTGGAGGACTACGGATAAAGTGAAAACAATGAGACAGAAGCCGAATGGAGGTGGGGGTGGCCAGGCACAGTGGTTCACTCCTGAAATCCCAGCACTTTGAGAGGTCAAGGTGGAAGGATCACTTGAGCCGAGGAGTTCGAGACTAGCCTGGGCAACATAGTGAGACCCCGTCTCTACAATAAATAAATAAGTAAAAATAATCACAAAGATGAGAGAAATCACTGGAAGTGATTCCGTTTAAGAATACCTGATTGTCATGCTGGGGAGGGAACAAGGATGGAGAGCAGGGATACATGAAGACATTACCACACCTGCAGCAGGAGAGGTAGACAGCGACCACAGTTCCACTAGGGAGTGTGGTCTGAATCCTGGAAGTAGAGCACTGAAGGAGGTAAGTATCAGAGTCTCTGCAAGAAATGACTGACACTCAGAAGGGTTTAGCTAAAAGAGTTCAGTGAAGATGTGGGTGGGATCATGGCATTAACAAGGCTCTGCAATGCTTCAGGCACCGCCAAATGCAGGTTGCCTTTAACAGTCTTAAAGGACCCCATGCTCCTGAAGCCACTGACCAGGAGGACAGCAGTCCAAGGGAAGGCAGTCACCGGCAGAACTTCCAGGAATGGGGAGGGGAGGTTCTAGATACCTCAATCTGTCCCTCCTGTCCTCCCATCAATGCCCTGAACTGGTCAAATTTGACAGGACAGAGGACAAAGACCAGTGATGCAGCCCACAGAGGTCAGCTTGCAGGCACAGGAATGGGGGAGAGGTGATAGCAGGTCTGCAGGGACAGATAAGGAATGGCCAGCTTCATACACTGGAGCACTTTTGTATTTTAGAATGAACATTCTGTAAGCACTGTCAGAGAGGAAAAAGACGGAATGCAGAAGAAACACAAAGGAGGTTATGGAAGCCATCTAGGCAAGGAATGGACTAAGGGAAGGAAAAAGAACTGATCCAAGACCACGCAGGAGGTGAGATTAGCTGGCTCTGGAGGCTCAGGTGACGGCAGGAAACAAGGAGACAACGTGACAGCTTCCAGCGAGTGGAGAGGCAGTGAGGTCCTTTGCGCAAGTAGGAAATCCTGGAGAAGAGACAGGTCTGTCTGAGGTGAGGAGTTCAATCCTAGACATACTGAGTTGTCATTGGAGGGGCTACATGAAGATGGACAGGTTGACAGCACAGGAGGAACTGGGCTGGAGTCAGATTAGAGACATCAATATAGACGTGTGTGTTGTCTATAATACAAAAATAATTATAAAATATAATACAACATCATTGAGAGAGAGGGTTGCTGTATTATAGAGGGCTATTGTAAATGCCACAAGAAAGACATGAATCTTCTGGAGTCCATATAAAGTAGGAAGGAAGAAATATAAAGTTCTTCTGGATCCCAGATAGGGTGTCACCATCACATCTGTCAAATAGGAAACAAGACCAAGAAACACTTTCGGGGACAAACAGAAGTGAGCCTGACGACTGACCCCTGACTTCCTCTGGAAGTGTGGTCAGTTGTTTCTCCTCCAGAAAAACCTGGAATGAAGCCTTAACAATTTGCTACACCAAAGCTGGGGACAGACTGGGAAGCCAGTAAAAACCAGTCAACAATTATATCCATTGGGGGAATAATATGGAATAAGCTCAGGTAGGTCCCTGTCCTGGCTTGAAACATCCTTAGCAGCGATTTCTTTGAACCATGCCAGCTCTGACATGTCACTCTTTCTTTTCTCCCTTCTTTCTCTAATAAGCTTTGTGTGAAAACTTAAAAAAAAATCCTTAGCGTAAGCAGGGAATGAGTGAAGACAGGTGCAGGGAAGGGGTCCTAAAAACACCCACGATGTCTGAAACAACCCCACAGAGGTCAGGTCCACAGGTAGCTGCATGAGACTGGAAAGTTACAGGAGAACCCAGCGTGTTCCACGGGGACAGCCAAATCACTTCATTTTTGCTCCTAACATTGCAATGAAGTGCATATGTTTTTAAATATATCAGCACATTTGCAGAGAGTCTGAGATGCAAATACAAGAATCCAGGTTAAGAGCCGGGTTTCAAAGAGGCATCAGGAGGGAACTCTGAAGGTGCTGTTAAATACAAGACACCAGAAACAAATGACATGGTCCGCACAGTCCTTCCAGGCACAAGAGCTGGTGCCAGGAATGCATGAAGCAACCGGCACAGAGGCACAGGCTCAGTACCCCTGAGATGCAAGGACTCCTGGCCAAGGGCAGCACATGGGCAGTGGAGGCTCACACTTGGCAGGGCCGCCAGCTGCAGGCAAGGTGAATGTCAAGGATGGCAGGGCAGAGCCTGCAGAGCCTGAGCAACTATGGCAAGGACACATGGGGACGTATGAAAAGCCCAGCCAGTGTGCACTGAGGCAGGACCAGGGCTCTGGACTCGCCTTCCGTGGTCCTTGGTCTGCCTCTGTACGTCCTCCTGGGGGGTCTCTGAACAAGAACCAAGGTTGGAGTCTAGAACTTTACACCAGGAGTCCTCACTAAGAGGAAGTAATTCCCACCAATCAAAGGAGCACATTTCAGTGGAAGGACAAAGAGCTTGCGGTCTCAGGTGCACAGACCTGGCCGCCCCAGACCACTGTAAAAATGCTGACTTGCACACAGTTCTTTCTTCACCACACGTGTTCTCAGTGCTGGGGGCTTTTCTTGTGGCCACCTCTAGGGCCGCTCACTGCAACACCTCCCAGTGAGCACCACCTGCTTCCTCAGGGGCTGAACAGACTCCCAGAGTCCCTCTTTGTTAGTGATCTCAGGAAATAGCTTCTGTGGAGCCTGAGCTTTGCAAACAAATGCTGCCTTCAGATGAGGTTTTTTTCCATTTGCTCCTAAGACCATCTCCTAAGTCATCTGACCCTGCAGCTCTCAAGTTAAGAGCAAGCTCATGTAATTTAAGTATAGTGCAATTCTGGGCTTTGAATTTAGGAGTCAATGCTACTCTGTCACCCAAGCCACATTCACTGTGCACTTGGGTGACCAGAATAGCTGTCTAGCTGGTCTCCCTGCTTCCAGAATTGCCCTCATGATTCCCCCCACAACCTACTCTCCAATCAGCATACAGATCTTTTAAAAGCATCAAGGCCAGGTGCGGTGGCTCATGCCTCTAATCCCAGCATTTTGGGAGGCCAAGGTGGGAGGACTGCTTGAGCCCAAGAGTCGAGGCCAGCCTGGGCAACGTAGTGAGACTTTTTCCTCTATAAAATTTTTTTTTTAAAAATGAGCCGGGCATGGTGGCACATATCTGTAGTCCCAGCTGCTTGGGAAGCTGAGGCAGAAGGATTGCCTGAGCCCAAGAGGTCGAGGCTGCAGAGAGTCATGGTCACTCCAGTCTGGCGACAGTGAGACCCCAATTAAAAAAAAAAAAAAGCATCAATTGGAACACCTCACTTACCTGCTCAAAAACCTTTCAGCGACTTCCCATGGCACCATAACAAAGTCTCTATCCCCTCCAAGGACCGGAAGGCCTCCGTGACCTTCCCTCTTCTGCTTCCCCTGCTCTGTGCTCCAGCCACGCCACCTGTCCTGTCCTCTTCAAGATGCTGGCCCGCCCCCACCTCAGGTATCCTCAGCCTGAAGCCTTCTTCCCCAGATCCGGAGAACTTGCAACTTCCAGAAACTGACGTCCTTGTCCACAGGCTGCCTTCTCAGGAAGGCCTTCCTCGACCCTGCTGTCTAAACTAGCACCCATCCGCCTCCACTGGCCTTCTCCTCACTGTGCTTTCTTCTTTCTTCATATCACAAAAATACTCATCAGCATGTACTATGTCTCCCCATGAAGTCAGGGATGCTGCATTTTCATGGCTGTCACCCCCAGCACTGTCATATTTGTCTTGTGTGTGGGTTGCAATCTGATAGGACTAGTGGGTTATTTTGGGCATGGGCAGCCTTGCCAGTGAAAGCCCAACCAAACCTAAGAGCCTGGCCAGGGCCGGTCAGCACCATAAATGAAGGTACACTGCAGTACCCGCTCGAAGTCACCTGATGCAGTAGGAAACTCCATCAGCCTGTGTCCCAGCCACCCCACCGACAGAACGTGAGGCCAGTGTGGAAACCACGGACATGTGGAACCCAGAAAGGCTGGTTTCTAAGCCTTACCCATCCCACTGTCAATGTACCCTTCGCTAGAGGGCTAGGCGCTCTACCCTTTACATCCCCTGGGCTAGAAGACCACCTTCCTGCTCCACACCAGATGGAGAAAGGCCAGGGAAAGAGGAGGTGGTGACGCGTTTACTTTGCTTTGACTCATACATGATACATCGGTGCATTCTGTGCAAGGGACCTCCCAGCCAGAAGGAAACAAATTGTTCCGAAGGTCCCGTCAGTCTTCAACCAGATCAAGAAACACACACAGGGGTGGCTGTGACTAGATACCCACAGACATGCCACTAAAATGCGTTGCAAGTAGCCGTGGCCCTGGAATTCTCCAGAATTGCCTCTGGCTTTTGAGGTGAAACTGACATGAGATTTACACAATACGCAAGATGACAAATACAAGGTGGCAGCATGTCATGGTGTCCTCTGGCTGCCCTCTGTGCTTATCATCTCCCCTGAGGTAAAGGAATCTCAAACCAACCCACACAAGAATTCCTAAAGCTCTAAGGGACCAGAAAACTCAGCCAAGGAGAAGGCACAAGTCTAGCTTTGAGTAAGCTCACAAGAGTCATACGCCATGGGCTGGTTGGACAAGGCAGAAGACAGTGACTGTGACAAGACTGTCATCGAGGTTGGCCCACCACCTTCCTAAAGAGACAGACCTTATCATCTTAGGCAGATTATAAAGGCTATGTCTTCCCTCAGTCTCACCTCCCTTCAGCAATCTTCTTCTAGAGACATTTTACGGTTCTGTTGCTATCTCCTTGAGTCCAGATGAGGGTGGGAAATGGAAAACATAGCCAGTCTGATGGCCTATCAGAACTCTCTTACTGACGAAGCCCTGACACAAGGCTCTGAAGACACCTACATGTCTGCAGGTTTCATTTATTCATATGGCCTCCATCTTCACTGGTTAATTCAGTTAGGATGGAACCTCTTGGTGGCAAATGTAGGCAAACCCAAATATACCAAAATGACAACAGTCTCCTAACAATGCAATCCAGAAAATGAAACTGAATTTCTAGCAATTTATAAAAATGTAACAGTCATCATTCATTTGGTCAGAAGGGAACAATATCTGTTGCCCCTTGGGGCTGAAACATGTCTAGTCCCTGGAGCATGCTCTGGAACCTACATCCTTACTTCCTCAAACCTGACTCTGACCAGGAGAAAGATCAGGAAGTGTGGGCTACCCCAGCTCTGCCTCGTCTCCCAAGCACTAAGAAGTGTCTGTGGGGTCAATCCCACATGCCATCTTTATCAATGGCAAGGTGGTTTCTAAGCCCTGGAACAAACATGGCTTTCTGTGATCCCCTGCAGTCCTCAGCAGGCTCCCTTGATCCTCTCCATGAAGCTGACTTCTGGATAAACAATATCTCTGGATAGTTGAGCCCAAACTACTAAGACAGCATAGGAGTCATTAATTATTTTCCTTACTAACAAATTCAAGTCAGGTTACCTTAAACAATGAGACAGATTCCTTAGCTCACCTTAAATACCACTCAGTTTCTAAATATTCAATTAATTTCTGGACTATATATCTCATTAAAAAGGGACAACTATGGCCGGGCATGGTGGCTCATGCCTATAATCCCAGCATTTTGGGAGACCAAGGCGGTTAGACTGCTTGAGCCCAGGACTTCAAGGCCAGCTTGGGTAACACAGCGAAACCTCTTCTCCACAAGAAAGGCAGCTGGGCATGGTGGCGCATGCCTGTAGTCCCAGCTACTCGGGTTGCTGAGGCGGGATTGCCTGAGCCCAGGAGGTAGAGGCTGCCATGAGCTGTGATCATCATGATCCTGCCACTGCACTTCAACCTGAGTGTCAGAGTGAGACCAACTCAAAAACAAACACATAAGTAATAAAAAAGGAACAGCTACACATCCCTATTTTAATGAATAAAGTCAATTTAAAATATCTCCTACTTTTGTCATTTATCAGTTTTCCTAAATGTGCAAGTTACATATTTAAGTTAAAGGGTTTCGTCGTACATACAGTAAAAATATTCAGTCAAACTTCAGAAAAGAGCAGGTAGTACTTAAGCCTACTCATAGAATATGCTAAAAATAAAAAGCGCAAACACGTCTCAAATCTTAGCAGATTCTAACCTCTAACATAACAGTTTCGCCAATGTTCCTCCCAAAAACTTAATCTTACATGGGCCTCATATGGGAAAAAAACTATCTCCAGATGAAACTATAAATAAGGGAATATAAACACTTATGAAATTATACTGGCATTTCCTCCATGTGACCTATAACTGTTTTTCTTTTGGGACAAGGAAGGAGGAGACGACTAGGAAAAACAAAAAGCAAATAAACCAACAAACCTTAACTTGTGAGAGTTCAAATGGGGTTAGGGTTTTTCTAGGTATTTTTTTGTAAAGTCATATTTTCTAAGGAGTTAACATATAGCACAAAAATTATAAAAGTAACTATTCTACTCACCTTCGCTTTTTCCTAATCTGAATATAAAACTTGATTTTTTTTTTTATCGCTCCAAGAATGTGAAAACCAAACTGGAATTAGTACATGCCCCTACATGTTCAGGTCTGAGAAGCCATTTCCATGGTTCTCAGGACAACGCATGGTTTCCAGGAGGACTGGCTGCAAATTCTGGGCGACTCTTGGCTTGAAGTTTCTCTTCCTCTCAGTCAGATAACTACCTGCCCCTCCTGTGTCAACTGCCTCCGACTTTCCTCCAGATAGGGTGACTGAATGATGGCCTTGGTCTGGCTGTTCCCAAGCCATCAAAGGGCATGCTATTAAAGATAATATTTTAGGAGGACATCTTCAGTATCATCCAACCCAAGCCTCTCACACGAAGGGCCCCATTTTATGAAAGGAAGTACCAGCTGCTTCATCTCAGGGTTCCCCATAAAAACCACAGACCTTCAGAGCAGCCATTCTTAGTCCTAGCCTGATCCAGAGCTTCCAACACAGTGTCCCTGGCGCACTACGGGACCCCAGATGCTTCAGTCGGCATTGTAAAGCCTCTTTGGGATGGCAAGCATCACTACAAAGCCACAGGAGTTGCCACTTTTCTTAGCTGCGGACTAGAATTTTATTAACTCAGTGGCCATCCTGAATGTCTCAGAAGCTCTGATAAGCATGTATGTGTGTCTCTGATTAACCAAATAAAGAAGCAGCGGTTACCACTAAATATGGTAACACAAACTTGAAAAACATCTGGTTCACTGAGGTGAGGCAAATACTGGAAACTCTTTAATAAAACATCTTCCTGTTACTGAGGAAAAAACGATGGTCCATGAAGACTAGGTGCCTGGGCCAAGGTTATACTGTAAGTGGTAGCTGGTGGTAATGGCTGAACTAGAACCCAAAGTTCTGGGAGCTGGTCTAGGGCTACTTCGACTTTTCTGGCTGCTGCCATGTCTAGAAACCTCCCTCTATGACAGCTTTTATTTTTGAAGGGATGCAGGGAAATTCACCCCGAAATAAGAGCATCTCGTCACAAGTTCTCTCTGACCTTCCCACTGTCTTTCCCAAGCTGCTTCCTCTACCTACTGTCAGGAGAGAAGAGGAAGAAAGTTATTTGCCCTGGCCCAAACCTTTTACAAAATAATGCCTGAATCTCAGGGTCACCCGGCTTCCAAAGATAACATATTGACAAGTCATTCTGTTCCACCCCCCACCATATTTTGCCCCAGAATAGAATTCTTCCTCTCCCTCCTGTAACCTGTTTTACCAGGATCCAAGTCCCCATTCTTCCTGTTACCTTGAGATGGTATTTAAGTTTCTGTAACTCATTGGGAAGCTGGGCCTTCATGCTGAAGGATCTCGAGTATATACACGTTAAATAACAATATTAATCAATTTTGCCTCATGCCAGTGATTTTTCAATGAAACTTTAGAGGGCCAATGGCCAGGGTCCCCACAGTTTTTTCACCAGCATACATGTGTTTTATTTCTACCATTAAGCCTTTGTTTTCTCATCTGTAAAAGACGTAAACAATGGTACCTTCTCCCATAGGGCTTCTATGGATATAAACATGTTAGATAATGCAGTCAAAGCACTTGTAACATCGCCTAGCACATAATAAACGTTCAGTGAAAACTGGTATAGAACAGTTCCCCAAGATGCAACTCACTGCAAGGTCCCTTCCATTGGCAGAATCGGACAACTGTCAACATCCATTTCCCCTTCATCCTTAAACAAGAAATTCTGCTTTAACTGGAGGAAGGGCCATGCCCAGCTAAAAGAACATACTTGGCAGCCTGCCTTGCAGTCAGGGCTGGCCAATACAACGAAGGGAAGTTGGAGATCGTTTAAAGCAAAGGGAGATAGAAATGTTAAGCTCATGGTAGATGAGAAGCAGCTCTGGAGTTAGAGCTCCAGTTTCCCGACTTCCCCAGGCGTCAAACCCAATCCGAGTGCCAGGATGCTGAGAACACTCCTGGAGAGCCCAGTACGCGACGAGCAGCTACCATGCCCTCTACCTGTGCGCTAGGCCTCGCTAAGCATCACAGTCACCCCTGAGGTCCATCATCTGCGCCTCGCCTGAGACTGGGTACTGTTAAGCGCTCAGTGTCGCAGCAGCCAGTCCGGGACTGCGGAATTTCCCTCCGATTCTGAAGCCAAAGATCTTACCTTCTCCAGTCTTGAGATCAAAGGAATAGCTAGTGAGACAGAAAAGCAAGGGTTTCAACATAAACCGGTGTACTGCACAAAAAGCCCTGTATGGAAAGCCTGGCGACTAGAGCCAGCCCTGCCGGTGACCGACTGTGTGACCTGGGACAAGGCACAAGGTCTCTGGGCCTTGGCTGCCTCTGCCAAACGAGGGACTGGGCCGCACCTGGACGCGTGCGGCGGCTTCTCGTGCTGGCCTCACGCCCGCCCCAAGGCCAGCAGAGAGCCCGGGCGGCCGGGAGGCGGGGCCTGTCTGGAGGCAGGCGGCGCCCGCCGGGTGACCCGA